AATATTAATTGGGTCTGGCACTCTGAAGCTTACAATGGAACCATCAGGGAGAGGCAGCAAGAAGATCACTCTAATCAATACATGCACAGCTGCAGGATAAATAGTGGGTTTTCTTAGGGAACAAGGACTGAAAGATTTGGTTTCTTATGCATCCGCAATTATGATTTTGCGCCCACCATAAAAGACAAAGCTACATCAACTTTGCTGTATCATTGTTGAATGCTTCCTGGATGTGAAATGGATTGCTGTTTAGCATGAGCTGTTCAGTTATCTGCCTTTTGGAGGATTTGGGAAAGCTTAGCTACAATTAAGAGGCTAATATATTTTTCACACAGGTGATTCTTAAAAGAAGAAAGGTTTTCTGTGTCAACATGCTACTACAGAATTTTCTGGTTCTGATTGTGCTTGTTACGAAGTTATCACTACGGCTGCTGTTTTAGCTGGGCAATGAAACTTGGAGTATACACAACAGCTAATTGCCATGGTATATGATTCAGTTTATTCCCACAACATAATAGCTCATAGGAGTGGTGGGAGATATTATTTCTTGAAATGAAAGGGGTTAACTGCAGGGGTGATGACTTATTATGAATTTGTTCTATTTTTTTTTATATTTACTTGTATACCTGTATTGGTTTTATACTTTTGATATGGTCAGATGACTAAATCAATAAATTTTTTGTTCTGTTCTGTTTGAAATAAAAGTAACTAACATTAGGCATGCTGTGTTATTCAAGTGACATCTATCTAAGAATCCCCGAAGCCTTTCATTTAGAAGGTGTCTGGATCGTTCGGTGCATATTTTCTTTTAGACTTTCTATTTACTCCAGAAAGTATGCACAGATGTACACACAGAGGTCCTCAGAATTTTTTCTACGATGTAATATGCAATAGCACATAGCATGTCATATACCCACATTTCTAGTTCTATAAATAGAAACAGAGCCTCTGTAAAGCAGTGCTTCCCTTCTCTAATCTGGAGAGTTACTCTAGAAGATGCTATGGTTGATGATATCAAAAGTGACTGAGAGAACTAGGAGAATTAATTTTAATTTCCTGTCAAAGAAGATCAGAAGAAAGACCAAAGCTGTTCTAGAACTGGACCCAGAATAACACGGGTCTAGAAATTTTGTTTCATCCAAGGGTAGCCTCATGTTGAACTAATACCCTTTAATTCCAGGATCTCACCAAGAAAGGGAATAATTGTACTCTCTTTTTCTGATAGCATCAGTATAATGTTTTACTTGATCATTTTTTAATGGCAGCCAAACTGCTTCTAGCATTTGTTCTCTAGGATCTTGGATCTGTAGCTTTATCCCCAAGATTGATAAACATGGTTAGTTTTGGCAGTCGATATCTTTCTCTTTTGGTCTTGTTTGGCCATTGTGAGGTTTGAAATCCAGTTCCACAGCAGTAACAGTGGATGGATCAGAAATCTCCAGAACATGTCCTAAACACCCAAGTTTAGCTGTGAAATGAACACACACATTTTTTTTTTCTCTTTCTGAGGTATAGTGGATTTACTGACAGTCCTTAGATCAACACTTTACTTAGAACTATATAACTGTTTATTTCTGCAGAAGAACACAATGAAGTTCTTCCAAGTGAAGACATTGGTCACAAAGAAGAGGACCACACTACTGTATCTTCAGATAACGTGGTAAGAATGCTTCCTAAAATCAACTTATTTAATTAAAACCAGAAAGCATGATGGACTGATATCTGAAGGGCTCTGTGTTGTGCCATAGAATTGGAAAAAAGAAAAAAAGGAAAAATCAAAACCCAAAATACCATATCTTGGAAAGCTTTTGTGGAGGAATCAGATCCTGACAGTGTTAAAACGTTTGGTTTCAAAAATGAAATAAACTGTTTGCTTTTTTTTTCTTTAAGAAAATAGAAATAATAGATGATGAAGAAAGCGATATGATCAGTAATTCTGAAGTGGATCAAATGAGCTCTCTTCTGGACTACAAAGTAAGTACCTTGCACTTATATTTAAAGAGAAAAACCATCTAGCATGCAAACTTTGATCAAATAATTGAATTCAGAATATGACATTAGTCCAGTCCAAGACAAGGGGTTGCAGCTTCTGCTGTTAGATATCCGGAAAGCAAGACAATCCTCAGAGCTCAAACTGTTGTTCAAAGAGATCCATCCCCTCGTTTTTCATCATCCGTCTAACGCAAGAAGGGAGGTTGGACACGGACTTGTTTTACTATCCCCTCCTGCCCCTCCTCCTCCCTCCCACTCTCTTGTGTTAAGCAGAGATTGCATTTTAATCAAATCAGAATATTTGAAGTATCGTGACCCTCATTTGTAATCTAATAACCCTGTAATACTTCTGATAAACTGGTTAAATTTATCAGAGGGTATGGAGGGTAAAATAATTTTTTTAAAAAAAATCACAGTGTAGCACTTCTCCTCCATTATGAAGAAATGTGGGCCTTTTAAGATAACCATCTTTTGTCTGCTTCAGATTCTTGTCCTAATATAGGGGCAAGTGCTGCAAAGTCCTGAGTATGAACTAGGGATTGTGAGAACATAACTACAGGCAGATGGTGCTGGAGGAAACATTTTTAGAAGTAGGATGACTTTTTTTTTTTTTTTTAAGACAAAGCGTTCCAATTTCAGCAGCTTGTGGATTACAGGCTAACGTTTGCTTTTGATGCAATATAAGCAAAAGCAGTTGGGAACTATGAGAAGCGCTGCTTTTTGCCAAATTTGCAAAGGTTACATCTGTACATAAGAATTGGAGGTGGATCACTTTTAACTTGGGTTTCAGTTGATGTTACCATATAGAATGCATGTTATAGTAGAACATTGCCAGGTTTAAAGTAAGTAGAGTGTCTTTGAAAAAACACAATATCCATGTAACTGAGCTTCACATATTTAACTTCATGATCCCTGCTTTAACAGAAAGTACAGTGCCAGATGAATAAAAATGTGAGGAACGTGATTTTTCTTTAACATCACTTGCCACCAATCTGAATAGTGTGATGTGATACCTACAGAAACTTGCTATTGTTGAATTGTGAGAAACAGCTATTCTTGGATAACTAAGCAAAAATCTGAGAGAAATAGGTTATCCATATATTTTTAAGTGGAGTTCTTATCCTATTCCAATTCTTGTTGTTGAAATAAGTGGGAAGAGTATTTTCTAATTACAGAACATGGGAAAGAGATATATATCTGGATTAAGAAAGATAAACTCGTTTAAATCAGGGAAATTAAATCAAACAGTGAAACATTCTACCTCTAGATGTTTAAAAATTGGGTAAACAGGTATTACCTTTATCCTTGCTAATCAAATAAGGTAAGTTTCATAGATTTGGGAGGAATTTTAGAAATACCCATGCATGGTGGCTGGGGAATTCTGGGAGCTGAAGTCCACACCTCTTCAAGTCACCAAGATTGAGGAACCCTGCTTTACAGTATCTGGTCTTTCATAGCTGTGAACCAAGTTGTCCTTCATGCCAACTAAGCTGTTCTTTCACAACCTTCACCCAAGACTGCTGTGTCTTTTCGTGCTTCCACCCAGTTTCCCACTGGTACACACTTAGCAGTACAAGTAGCATTTGTACATTTTCCATAATTTATTTTGCCACCAGCAGGTTCCATCTGCTTCAAAAGTGTGTGAAGGGCACGGGAGGTGAGCAGCTGAAAAAACTGCTACTCTGCCCTGCAAATGGGTCCTCTGGGTAGTCACTTCAGCTGCATTCAAGAGGTTCCTCTAATACTAAGGGGAAGTTTTAGGGAATCTTGGTTGTACATACAAAATTTATCAGTTATGGTATGTTCTTCACATATTTCATCTGTTTAGATTAGGGATGTGGGTATATGAACACGTGCACAGGCATAGCTACGTAGACAAATATTTATACATATTTTTCTGTCAAATGAGGAATGGAAAACCAATTGTCTCACAGCCCATTGTTGAATGCCATATATCCATTCCATTCTCAAAATATATTGGCTCAGAAAAAACATCTTGGAATTCCAGTTTACAAATTCATTCTCGTAAATGGGGGAAAGGAGTCACTTAGTAAAATATTTTGTCTGGGTATTCTCTTTTTCCAGAACTTTTCAAAAGCATGGGAGGGCTGGGAGTCTAGACTAAGCACACTTAAGATGAGTAGCTAAGGAAGACACTGCGGTATAATTTCTCATACCTTATTTATAGCAGTAGTTACTGAATGATCCTGATGGAACATCATTATTCTGTCATTTGAATTTTGATTAATATCTTATTCCTTTTTTTGTAGTAATAATTTTATTAAGCATTACAATTAAAAAGATAAAAACTAATACAAACTAAAAGAATAAAAGAAAAAAATGGAAAGGACAAAAAAAAGAAAAAATAGAAAGAAAAATAGAAAAAAATAATATAGTAAAGAAAAAGAAGGCATATATAAAGAAATGACTCCCCCTTCACAACAGCAAGTATAAACAATTTTAGTAACTTATCACCTTCACTTAAAATGCAACAAATGATCTCTTCTTCCCATATCCCATCTCTTATCTATAAACAAATCCTTGAAACCTCGTTGCTTCAATCCTGATCAACAAAAGTCCAGTAAGGGTTAACAGAGATAACATATCTATTTAACCTTGATCAAATAAACCAATGTTATATTCCTTCCTTTTACTTTTAACAATCTTGTTTTTTAGCCCCTTCCAATAATGTCCTAGAACTTGATTTCTTTTCATTTTTTCTTTGTCCCTTC